ATAAAAACGGCTCCGTCCGTGTTAAAATGTATTTTAAAAAATTGACAAAACTGAACATCCTACAGTATTTTAGTCTTTATTTTACAATTAAAATACATGTTTATCAAATAAAGTCTAATGTTACAACTAATCAGGGATCCCTTTAAAGTACAAACTGTCCTTACTAGTTTTTGTTCTGTTGTTGCCAGTTTGTTACAGAAACCAACCTGTCGAGTGCTGAATATTAAACATCTGAATAAGAGAATAAAGCTACTGATTCAAAAAACAGTAGATAAATATGCATGACGTACAGGCTGTGTTTGTAATAAATGTCACATTACAAGGACAGCCCGCGATTCCTTACACCAGACAAGGTGCCCTCTTTTTTCACTTGAGCACCTGCCCTCCAAAATGTCTGTGCACGCCTCTGGCTGTTGGTGAAAACATGGCCACTCCATCATTTCAAGATTGCACACGTGTGATCCACGTGTCACCTGAGGTGGTCGKGCAACAAGGTCTGATTCCTTATCACCCYGCCGTCGATGCTTATGACAACTTACATCAACAGAGACCAACATCAGATCTATCTGCAGAGTTTGAACAAAGGGCCGAATGATACCGAGCACCGAATCCACCTCATGCTGCAGGTCAGGGGAACGTGGATATAAATTGTTATCCGACAGGTTGGATAATTCCAGTGGACTGGGTTAAAGGTCAACCTGTTACAAGCTGGAATGTAAACACAAGTCCCTTTTACTACACCACCTCTGGCCTTACTGGGTCCACCGACGCCATTACTCACAGAACTGTCACCTTCACCCACTGAGATAAGACCACTAAAAGAAATAAGGTGGGCCGTACGAGAAGCAGAGACTGAAAGACTATATTTCATTATGCCATTAACGTGATTTTAACACGAATAAATATATCTTTTACCCAGTCCCATGCTTAAACACATGTTGTAACCTGAGTTGCCTCCTCTGGAAGAAAAGAAAGAGGAGGAGTATGAATGTATTTTTAAATGAATATATGCATAATTATAGAGGAGTTTATAAAACTCACATGCACATTAGAACGAGGGCTTTTTGTGTGTGGCTTTTTGAGGAGGACAACAGATCGCTGCTGCTTGGCTCTCCTGTTGCTCTTGGGTCATGCTGGCCCAGGGGTGACAGGAGGGTTTAGAGCGCTTGCATTTACCTTAAATACATTTTATTTTTGTCTGTTATTTTATTATTAATATTTTTGGGGCTTGTTTTCCTGTGAAACCTTGTTGTGGAATATTTTCCTTTGAGCGCATTTTGTTTACACTTTTTGTCTTTGGTTTTTAGAACATAGACAAAAGGATGTGAACCTATATAAAAGTCTCTGTTTTTATTATTCTTCACCTGAAATAAAGTTTTTTTGCTGAAGAGCACAAAATTGAGACTTGGTAAGTCTTCTGTTTATTTTATTCTGCTGGTTTTTTTTAAGGTGTACACGACAACACATGCGCTGAGGTAACTTAAATGTCTTAGTGTGGCCGCCTTCCTGCCTCCATTCATAATCTCCAGAGGAGAGTGTGGGGTTGAAGCGTCCGGACCTGGGTGATTTGTCTCCTTTTGACAGGAATGGCAGCTCCCTGGCCTTGTCAGGACGCGCCCTGGCTAAGTGAGTGATAAAGTTGCAGCTTTTTAGCCTCGATTCACACAGGCGTTGTTCAAGTTCAAAAATCCTACTTGTCTGATAATCCTGCTCGATCATGCATATTAATGTGATGCTTGTTTGTTGTTAGATTGAGTCAGTAGGTAACTACAGCAAGCGCTGACCTCCCGGATAAGGCTGGATCAACGACAGGAGAATGTACTGGTTGATTTCAATCTGATGTTAAATATTTGGGTTGAAGGGGTCAGGCCACGGCATAGTTTACAGTGGATTAGTGGATTAGCATTAGCTGAGCAAAGACTTGTTTAGTGGATCAGTGGTTTAGCTTTAGCAAAGCTAAGACTTGTTTAGTAGATTAGTGGATTAGTGGTTTAGTGTTAGCAAAGCTAAGACTTGTCTAGTGGATTAGTGGTTTAGCGTTAGCAAAGCTAAGACTTGTTTAGTGGATTAGTGGTTTAGCATTAGTGGAGCTGAGATTCTTGTTTAGTGGATCAGTGGTTTAGCGTTAGCAAAGCTAAGACTTGTTTAGTGGATTAGTGGTTTAGC